GCGGCCCCCGCTGACCCGCTCCGCTCTGGGTAGGGCCAGTTCAACTTCGTTCACGTGATCATCACCCCCCTGGACTACGAGTGCAACCTGGTCTCGCTGCAGTGCCGGAAGGGTGAGGCCGGCGGGCGCGGGCGCGGGCGGGGGGCCTACCCTTGGGCTTGGACATGGTCTTCTTGAGCGGGGCGGGCAGGTCCGTGTGGGTGACGGTGCACGTGAACTCCTCCCCGGACTGCCAGTCCTCTATGCACACGGTGGCCTGGCCCGTGGCGCTGAAGGTGGAGTTGGGGTAGCTGTCGGAGATGTTGAGGTGGGTCTTCAGAGCCTCGCCGTTCTGGCGTGTCCAGTTGATGCTCAGGCTGTCGTAGTTGGACAGGTCTGTGACCAGGCAGGTCAGCTTGGCTGACTTGTCGAGGAACATGCTGGTGAACGTCGGCGGGAGAAGGAAGGCCTGGATGCTGTTGGTGACTGCGGGAGAGCGTGGCCGCGTGACGGGGGGTGGGGGTGGGGTGGGGGGCTCAGCGCAGCCCCCTGAGCCCCTCACAGCCCTGCTGAGGGCGCTATTCCCCCACAGGACCCCTCTGCCCGGGGCGGCCTGGGGGGATGGGTGGCTGCCGGACACTCACCGACGGTGCAAACGGAGGACACGTTCTTCCGGAAGGTCAGCCCATTGTGCTCCACCTGGCAGGTGAACACGTACTGGTTGAGCCAGTCGGTCTCCGTGATGGTCAGCTTGCTGGTGATGCTGAAGGTGGGGGGCCTGGAGCCCTGGCGCTCGGTCTCCACGGGGCCGGTGGTGAAGCCTGACTGCAGCTGCTTCCCTTCCCGCAGCCAGGACACCTTGATCTTCTTGGGGCTGAAGCCTGTGGCCTGGCAGACCAGCTGGGACGTGCGTGGGTTGGTGCCATTGCTGGAGAAGGCGTCGCGGGGTGGGATGTAGATGTCCACTTTGGGGGACTGCGCTGGGAACCCTGGGCGAGGAGACCGGGTCAGCCGAGCGCTGGTGCCGCCCGCTGCACGGCCCATGCCCAGGAGCCCCGGTGCTCACCTGTGTTGTAGGGCACGTTCACGCTACGATCACCCTTGGGGTGATCGGCATGGCACACCACGTAGGCGTCCTTGGCCTGTATCAGGTCCATGGATGGCAGAAGCAGCTGGGAGGAGGCCATGTACTTGCCCCCGACCCCCAGCACTGGGTACTTCCTCACAGCCTGGCTGTTCACCGAGGTGTCGTTCATGTATTTCCAGGAGAAGGTGATGGACTCGGGCAGGAAGTCGCGGGCCAGGCAGCCCATGGCCATTTGGCTGTCCTCGGGCATGTGGCTGTCACAGGACACCAGGGGGTAGAGACTGGGGGCGGCCGGGCTCGCTGAGGACCAGAGAAAAGCAGGGTGAGGAGGCGCTTTGGTCCCTGTGGGGCTCTGGGCCCACTCCAGAGAGTGGCCCGCACTGCGGGAGGCTGATGAGGTGTCCAGGAGCCAGCTGCTGGCCATGTAAACTGCAGAGGGGCTGCTCGCTTGGGGCCCACGCCAGCAGTCAGACATGAGGCTCCTGCTGCCACACACCCACCCAGCTGCCAGCCGATAGGCGGCCTTGCGCCCTGGCTCAGGGCGGCTCAGGGCCTCGAGACGGGGGCTCTGGCTGCATGGTCATCTCCGAGGGCAGTGATGGGCACAACTGGCTGTAGGGGACAACCCTCGGCCAGCCAGCCTGATGCACGCTCGGCAGAAGGAGCTCTGTGTCGGGGGCTGGAGTGGGCAGGAGCCACAGCCAGTTCGCCGGTCCAAGGTCAGTCCTGTGGGGTGCTGGGGGCCAGTGCTGCCAGCTAGCACCCTGGGCCACAGTGGCTCTGGTCAGGCAAGGCCTGTCCAGCAGGTCAGCAACTGCCCTGAGCTAGACCTCAGTCAGTCCACCCTGTGCCCATTCAGATCACCAGGAAGTCCTCAGGCCCAAGTCCAGAAGCTCAGCCCAGCTCTCCTAGCTGAGCCCAAGCTGAACCCAGCTCAGCTCAGTTCATCCAATTCAGCTCACCCAGCTCAGCCCATCTCAGCCAGCTCAGCTCACCAGCTCACCCAGCTCACCCAGCTCAGCCCAGCTCAGCCCAGCTCAGCCCAGCTCAGCCAGCTCAGCTCACCCAGCTCAGCTCAGCTCAACACAGCTCAGTACAGCTCAACCCAGCTTAGCTCACCCAGCCCAGCTCAGCCAGTTCAGCTCAGCTCACGCAGCTCAGCTCAGCTCAACCCAGCTCAGCCCAGCTCACCCAGTTCAACCCAGCTCAGC